TTACCGCTCGGTCCCACCTATCGCGTAAGTTCGAGGTATTACTGTAAAATAATAAAAACTTACTCGGTGAAATAAAATGTGCGATGGATGTACCGATGGAACTTCCCCTGAATTGATCCGCTAGTCGTAACTACAGGTGCCAGTGTCGGCATTGCGTGAAGGATTAAAAATATCAAGAATATCGTTCGTAAACAGGTTACAAAAAATATGGATAACGCTAGAATTTTAAAGATAATTGCTGCTATTTTAGCGATATTAGGTTTGGTTACAGCCGGAGTATGCATCTGGATTCTTTCAGATCCGTTAAAATTTACGGTCGTGGTACTGAATCCTGGATATTCTCCTAAAATTGCAATCACCACAGCAGTATTGATGAGTCTGGTAGGAATTGCAACAGTTATCCTTCCCGTGAATACAAGCGAACGCATTTTCTTTAGTTCGGGTTTAACATTTATGGCATTGGCATTATCTCTCACGTCTTTTTCTAAAATAATCTTACTAATTTATTAAGTAAAAGTAAACCATTTTAAAATTATTCCTATAAATTTAAGAAAACATGCGAGCTAAACTTCATACTGTGTTTTCACTTTATACTCACTCAATATTACAATTAAATAATAATAATGTATTTCTGCGTGACTTCGTTCTGACTACCACAAAATATAATCGACCAGCATTTCCTATTTCGGTGGGTTGACGTCATTCAGCCGACCAATCAGCGCGTTGTGCCATCTGGATATTTAGTCGCACGTCTTCTTTCTTCCCTAAACATGGCCGAACGCACTTCCATCTGGTGGACACACACCCTGTAATCAAGTAGACCACCGCTGCCGCCCTGTGCAAAAAACTGTTGTAAAAATTTACTAAAATTAAAATTAACATAATTTATGTTAAATTTAATAAACCAATACTTTGATATAATATAAAATTAATAATATACTATCAAATAGTACATTAATTAGACTTAAAATTACATTAAATTAGATAAAATTGCAATTAATTTACAAATCATTAACGTAAACAAGAAAATACGAATTTTTTTTAGAAATAATACAAAATATAAGCATATAAATAATATACAAAATAAAAGTACACATACTTCCATATTGGAATTATTTGTTTTCATATTTTTAATACAAACATTTGATTTTATGCGAATTTTCTACCTAATATAAGTGCATTTAGCCCAATGACCTTGAACTTCCCCTGAATTGATCCGCTAGTCGTCACTACAGGTGACAGTGTCGGCATTGCGTGAAGGATTAAAAATATCAAGAATATCGTTCGTAAACAGGTTACAAAAGATATGGATAACGCTAGAATTTTAAAGATAATTGCTGCCATTTTAGCGGTAAGTTTTAAACTTTTAGTTATATGTAAATTGCATTTGTCAAAATTATTATACAGTAGACCCCCTATAACACTGTTGATAATTCCGTGTTATATGAATTCCATGTTGTACGAGTCACTTAGGTTTTACAAATATGCGAGCGGTTCACAGCCCGGCACACATATTTGTAAAATTTAAGTGACTCGTACAACATGGAATTCATATAACACGGAATTATCAACAGTGTTATAGGGGTCTACTGTACTTATAACATTTTATAGTAAATAATAACAATTTCGCGAAGTTTATTACAAGTACTAATTAAATAATTAAACATTTGAAACAAAGGAGAGTGCAAAGGAACCAAGTATTTAATCGAAATAGCCCACTAGTGGCAGAGTGGATAAACCATTGAACACCTATTCGTGGGTTCGCGCCTCGCCAACAGGCTGGACACATGGAGTTTTCGGGGTTTCTTTACGTTTGTAATACACTTAAAGAAGGGCCAATTTCCCATAAAAGCACTCCCGGAAAGCATCCTCTCAATTACAATATAGAAGTATTCTCCGATTTATATTTAATATCAATGAATAATTGTAAACCTGCATATTCTGATGGTTGTTTTCTACTCTGTTGAAACCGATGCCATATACTATTTTAGTATCTGAGGCAAGACTGACTTTAATTTAAGAAAAAATAAAATTTGGAACATTTTCTAAATTCTTTCTTTTCATAAAAATTAAGAAACTTAAAAATTTAAATAATTTCAAATTGAAAATTTAATTGAAAAATGAAATTAAAGAAAAAAATTGGAAAAAAAAGCAAAACACTGAGGCATTTTTCAATCATTATAGTGTTTTGCTTTTTTCAAGTTTGTTTAAATAAGATGTCTTTAACATAGAATTTAACGTTTTAATAAATACAGAATGCACAGTGTAAGAGTATTTCAAGATAAACTCTGTATAAATCATGTCATTTGTTGCCATTAGACATTTTTGTATAATGGAGAACTATAAATGCAAATAATACTGTAACTAAATCTATATCAAACTTGCATACATAGCCTAGTCTCTGTCTATTCACGCTATTATTGGTTATAATGTTTTAACATATGAATAAAAAACAATACCTAATATTGTTCAATTGTTTTATTATTATTATTTTGCCATTTTAGATATTAGGTTTGATTACAGCCGGAGTATGCATCTGGATTCTTTCAGATCCTTTAAAATTTACGGTCGTGGTACTGAATCCTGGATATTCTCCTAAAATTGCAATCACCACAGCAGTATTGATGAGTCTGGTAGGAATTGCAACAGTTATCCTTCCCGTGAATACAAGCGAACGCATTTTCTTTGTGAGTAGAATAATTTTTAAAGTATCAATTTGCTTATTACTATTAGGACTACACTTAGCTTAAAATGGACATAAATTTGTCCGCAAAATCTTTTAAAAATAATCAATCATTTGATTAAGTTTTGTTTTATATTTCAGAGTTCGGGTTTAACATTTATGGCATTGGCATTATCTCTCACGTCTTTTTCTATAGCAATCGATGAGATTTCCGACGATTACCTACCGAATGTAAGAGTTGTTTGTGGCATTAAATTTTTAATTTTTATAATATAGAAATACTGATTTTCGTTTAGAAAATAAGACAAGACAATTTAGAAATTATATGTTTTGTAACTAGTTATGTAACGCTGTATCAGCGTGTAGTCGGAGCAAGGCTGCTCGCACCTTCATTTTCTAGATTATGAGGGAAAAAAGAGAAAAAGAATCATTCGTTCTCAACAATATATTTGATTTCTATTGTATCATTTAAAGGTACAAATATAAGGTCAGAATAGGCGACTAATTAATTGCTATGCTAAGGTAAGGGGAAACTGTCTACTAGATCGCAATATACTGCCATCATTTGAAGAGCGTGTTATGGGGATTATTGGAAAAACAGATTACCATAGATGAAAGGTATCGAATTCCACCAAAATAAACAGAGGAAGAGCTGGAGGGTGAGCATTAGGAACATATATAATGTAGCGTGTAGTTCCTAGTAAACCATTGACGAGACCTCCTTGCACCCATAAGTTGGCTCTCAGCATGATTCTGGCGATAGAGAGGTTGCGGCCGACGTTTTCAACGCGAAAACGTGTAAGTCGGACTTTTAGCGCCGCCTTCCCGTGAGCCTAGAAGTTTGACAATGACGTTTGGAACATCGAGCATGATTCTACTGACGTTCCAAACGCCATTGTTAAACTTCTAGGCTCACAGGAAGGCGGCGCTGAACGTCCGGCGCACACGTCTTCGCGTTGAAAACGTCGGCCGCAACCTCTCTATTAACTGAGAGATTCAAATACTTGGTGAGACCAAGAGCTGAGTCGTACGAAGGACGAAGGCAGGGCAATATCTGGAGTGTTTTAGGATGCTATATAAGCAACAGGGCACCCAGTTGACTGCAAGTAGTCTTCGTTGCTTTGTTTAACTTGCTTGTTTGTTGGATATTGCTCTACTGCCGTTTGGAACTGATCAAGTTAATCTCTGAATAAATAGACTCGATAGATAGACGCTGCCGCGTAGGACGTAGCCTTAGTTAGCTCATTTTGACCTCTAATACTGAAGAAAAACGCGATCTTTGTTTTAGCCCCTATCTCCAGTTCTACAAAAATGGATCATTTTTGAGAGTTGAAATTTTAATCAGTTCATCCATGAGAGATGATGAGTCGTCTTAGAAAATTTCATCAAGATCGGACAACTCATTCTAGAGTTATAATATTGACAAGGAATACATGAAGTCAAGTGTTAGTCGTTACTGGGCTTCGCCTCGCTTCAGATAAAATCAATGATTTCACGATAATGCATATTATATTTACTTTCGCTGTTTATAAATTTTAATGTGTTTTATTCATACAGCCGGAGTATTTTATTATTAAATTTTAATAATAAAAATACTTTAAATTATTATTCAAGGATATTTTAGAATCATATTACAGAAGATTGAAGATAGTGGCTGGCTTTTCTGGATGCGATGCAGCAATTACAGTTAGTAACTTTTTAAAATTTTTTGTTTTTTATATTATATTGTGTAAAATAAAATTTTCATGAATATTATATTTCCAGATTTTGGTACTTTGCGCTTTCTTTGTGAATCGTGCATGATGATAATACGATTTCTGTGATTAGTGATTTCTTGATGTCAAGGAAACAATGAACTTTAGGATTTCATTGAATCTATATATATATAATCGAGACGAGTTAATAATAATAATAATAATAATAATAATATAGACATAGCCATTCCAAACACTCACAATGTAGAAAACACATGCACTGAAAAAATTAGCAAGTACACAGAACTCGCCCAGGAAATAAGGCATCTGTGGAGGATGGAAAGGGTGCTTATTGTACCTGTTGTTCTCTCCTGTACAGGTGTGATACCACACACGCTACACAAAAGCCTGGGAACATTACAATTGAGTAGAAATACATACATCACACTACAGAAGGCCACTATATTGAATACATGCC